ACCTCTGATGAAGATTAAAGGTGACCTGGAACCATAAGCTATAGCACCCCAAACCATAACTCCAATAGTGTGATGAACATGTCATTCAACAAAAAACTGTGGATTCCTCCTTTCACCACGTCGCCTTCTAACCCTGGCACGACCATCGTGCATGCCTAAACAAAATCGAGACTCGTCACTAAAGACAATACTGTTCCATTCCTGATCCCAGAGTGACCGTTGTCTGCACCACTCAAGGCGATTACGTCGGTGTTCTCGAGTTAAAGGGAGGACCCAGTGTGGCCGGTATGAAAACAAGCCAAAACTTCTCATTCGTCGGTAAACACTTCGCATGCCAATAGGTCTTCCGTGTTCTGCAAACCATTCATTTGCATTGGACCTGGTAGTGGAGAAACGGTCCCTTAAGGCCAATAATCTTAGGCGACGATCTTCACGGTCTGTTGTTCTACGGCGGCGTCAAGTGCCCCTTGCTCTTTGCGTACGGCCTTCTCGAAGCCATGCCTGACAACACCTAACCACAGTGTCTACACTTCTTTGCACTCTAACTGCAATTGGCCGAAAAGAAAGCCGAGCTTCCCGAAGTCCCACTATACGGCCCCTATCAAACTCACTAAGTTGACGAAATCGTACAGGTCTCCGTACTCTAGGCATCGTAACCGATCGTAAAGAATGTCAAGAACCAAAATCCGCCAACGTTGATTCTTTACTGCGGCTGAAATATTCATTTTTAGAGTGTTAGTGAATTAAAAAAAAGCAGTATAAAAACCGGAATGTCCAACTGATAAGGCTGAAAATTTGTTCACTTGTTATTTACAGTAAGATAAATACATTCACCAACTTTTATTAAAATAAAACCATTTAAACTGGGTGTTCGGATTTATATGTCACTTAGTATATATACCCGTACTCATTTCGGTTGGACCAGCAACTGAGCGCTTTCGCATCAGACACTTCATGACAAACATTTGAGCTGTGGCCCGCGAAATAGACATTTCAAAGTTATTTTCCGGGATAAAAAGTAGCCGATGTGCTATTTCAGACTATTCAAACATGGAGACATATCTGTGCATTTTATAAGAGAATGATTGGATTGTAGATCTGATTGTACATATTCTAAAATTGTCCCTCTTAAATGCGACAGCACAGGATGAACGGCCATCTGTATGACCTCTCGCTCTATGAGGATGGTTCGCTAAGAACAGGTACTCACTGCTGTGCTTGTGCTTCGAGGAAGAGACCTCGTAAGTTTTCTGTTCTTTAGCGCTTAAATTCTCAATTTCTTCTTCAGGTCACTAATTATTCAAACCGTAGCTATTTAGATTCTTGGTAATATAATTATGACTTCCTTATAGATCAATTTACTGTCTTTCAACATCTCATTAATACTGTCGATAATGATATTATCTCAATCTCTTGATCTTACACAACTTATCTAATTTATATTTGTAGTTCTTCTTCCATTCTCGATGAGCTAATTCTTTGAATTTAAGTTTGAATTTCTAATTAACTATAACTAAAATCAGTTAAATTTCATTCTTGATACTTACTCATTTGTCTGATAGAGTAAATCAACTAAACAACCCAGTCTTGTCTAAAATAATCTGTTCATCTTGAGAGTTAATAAACGGGTAAGCTTTAACTCTCAATAATTAGTTGTTTCATTTCGTAGCCCTGTAGTTCAATTCCAACTTAACCCCAACCGAGTGTAAGACTTTTACTTCAGCATCTCTGTCTGCCACTCTTGAAAATGAAGTGTCTAGATCAGTGCTAAAAGTGATAAGAGCTTTTGAACATTCTTCTGATCAGTTTTTAATTAATAAATATACCGGGTTTGTCCGGAAGGTAATAGGACTGAGTCGATTTAAAAAATTTATTGAGCCAATCGTTACAATTCGTTAAAAACTTTAAAAATAGGCTCCTTCTGCGTCGATGCAGCGCTGACAGCGCGATTTCCAAGCATTGAAAGTGTCACGGAAGGCATTCTCCGGAATAGCCTTGAGAGCCGCGGTGCATGCTGCTTGGATCCCCTCTATCGTCTCAAAATGCTTGCCTTTCATCGGCCTTTTCAGGCGAGGAAACAAAAAAAGTCCGGGGGGCCACATCTGGGCTGTAGGGCGGCTGCGGAAGCGTTGGGATGTCGGCCTTGGTCAGGTAGCTGTTCACAAGAAAGGCGGTGTGAGCCGGGGCGTTGTCGTGGTGCAACTTCCAGTCGGCTGCGATGTCTTGTCGGACCCGACTGACCCCTCGTTTGAGTCTCCTGAGCACTTACACGTAAAACTTGGCGTTGACGGTTTGTCCAGGAGGAACAAATTCATGGTGGACGATGCCTTTGATGTCAAAAAAGACAATAAGCATCGTTTTCACTTTGGATTTGCTCATTCTTCCCTTTTTTCGGCAAGGAGACGCCGTCGTGTGCCACTCGGAAGATTGTCTCTTTGTCTCGGGATCATACTCAAAGATCCACGACTCGTCACCTGTGATTACGTTATTTAAAAATTGGGGGTCACTTTCACACATGTTCAAATTTTCTTGGCACACTTCCACTCGCCGCAATTTCTGGTCGTCAGTGAGCACTTTTGGGACCATCTTCGCGCACACATTGCGCATGTTCAAATGCTGTATCACAATGTCATGAATCACAGATTTTGGTAAATTTAACATCTGGGCAATTAAACGAATACTTAGTCGACGGTCTGAGTTCAAAACTTTGCGCACACGTGTCACGTTATCTGTGTTTGTCGAAGTCGAAGGTCTTCCAGCACGGTCTTCATCAGCGACCTCTTCCCGGCCCTCCAAAAAGGCCTGGTGCCACCGAAACACACCACTTCTTGCTAAAGCAACACCTGGGTAAGCCTGCTTGATCATATCAAACGTCTCTGTCGCAGATTTACCGAGTTTCACACAGAATTTAATCGCGTACCTCTGCTCTAACGATAACTAAAGTGTAAAATCAACCAAGAAAGTAATTGACCTTAGTGCGCGCCGATCTTAAGAAGACTCCTAAGCGTCAGATAGTAAATGGTAAAGTCACCTTACATTTCTTCTCAAATGGCTGTCATCTAATAACTTATAAACGGTTTCCGCACCAAATTTTCAATAACGTGAACTTTAAGTCATTGTAGGAATGTCCGCTCGAATTCCGGTTTATGTGGGTCAAAATACTGACTGATGTCGTAATTAGCGAATTTCATCGTGACCGTCTCAGCAGATCAATTAATGATTTGACTAGTTGGCTGATTACGTTTCACTAATCATTGCAATAACGGCCAACGTGTTACACTATAATACATCTCTGTACCATTTTTCATTCAAATCCGTTCAGCCATTTTGGTGTGATTGAGCAACAACAACAACAATTTCCCATTTATAATGATGATGAAAAACATCCGGGATTCCTACCAATACGTAACTTTTTGCCACTCTAAATAATTTACAGCAATGTAAGAACACCTTTATTTTAAGTTAAGTTTTAAAACAAAAAACAATATGGTCTCTCCTTTTTCTCACTTTTTTCATGCAAGTCTGACGCCTTAGGGGGGGGGGGGGTAAGGGTAGGACCCCCTTGGATTCGCGCCTGGTACACACCGGAATAGTCTAGTCTTCACAAAATATGAACGATTCAAAATGAACTCGTCCTCTCGACACACAAATATTTGCGTTATACATATATTGTGTGCGCGCCACAAACTATAAAATTGACTCACATGGACCAATAATTTTTTTTATTGAGGCTGTCATCAGTACACTGCATCAATAAAGCAACTATGGTACTTTTAATCAAAAAATGTATGCGACTTTGGTACGCAACATACTTAGTTATGCATGACCGGGAAGATATTTTCATGTAGAAAAAAAAATACCACTCTAATGTTAGTTTTAACCCATTAGCCTACTGTAGGCTTCGACTAATGCTTCTCAGTAACACTATCTGTCCTATGTAAAAGCAGGTAGAATACGTTCCATCATTACTTTTTTATTGTTTACGATATAAACTGTAAATTTGGGCACATGGAAGCTAAGCACTTAATGAGGAATAAGATGTTTTTAAAAAAATCTGTTTTTGTCAGAAATGTAGCATGTTTTGGAAAAAATTTATCACTCATTTGAATTTCACAGTGTAGGTATGGAGTATGTTCAGACGAATTCCGATTTTGCAACATTTAAAAAAATAAGTTTTAAAATTTTTTGAAAAATACTTAATGATTTTGACATTTATTTAATCAGCAAAATACTCATTGCTTTAAAACTGATTCTTTCATATTTTCAAATTGCTCTCTGTATTCGAGTAAACAAAAGACTAAAATTTGTCTGCAAAATAGACATTTTTTTCAAAAAAGCGTAATTCTCCCTTAAACCCAAATTTCTTGTTTAAATGTGAAAAAGTAAATGAGTTATGATAGAACTGTTATGAATAAATCAAACGGTAGATGGAGCAGCTATTAGTAAATTTCTGGTACGTGGATTTTGAAACTTTACTACAGAAATCCTAGTTGCTCTCAAGTGGCATAATGCCTTATGACAATAAAAAAATGTATGTTTCATATGAGCTTTTGTGCACAGATTTGTGATACAATTTATAATGCATACTAATCTCCTCAAATTTGAGATGCACATTGGATATGCCACGTAAAAATATTTATGAAATTTCATAATTTCATTTCGTGTCATATCGGTCTTAGATATTGGATTTCATCATTGTCTTAGTTTTGTGATTTTTGATTGTTGCATTTTTACAAATCCGAATCCAAAATGATTTTTGCTGTTCATCGAATATGATGATATAGTTGATCTCAGTAATAGCATAAATAGATCCAAGGAAGCATTACCCTAATATTCTCAAAATGGCATCTTATTGTGACCTCGCCAGAATTGTTTTCTGATAACTCTTTTGGTCTTCATCATTTTTATTGCATATAATAATCCCATATACAACATTCCCGGACCTGATTCTAATATACATAATTTTGTTGGTTATGTGGGTTTTTGATGCTAATTTCTAGAAAACTACATCAGTATTTCACTTATGGAACAACATAGCAAGCCATGGTGTACCAGTAATTTTGGCGCTTTTCATGGGATCATGGTCTGACAGACGTGGTAGGAAATTGCCGCTACTAATTGGATTGACAGGAAAGCTGTATTTCTCAGCTATGATAGGTAATTTGCAAACACGCTTCAATATTATTTTGATAACCGAACCAAACCTTATAGTGGTGAATACCTTAAAGACGGATTGGCCAGTCGAGTACATAATTTACACAGCTAGCGCTCCTAGCGCCATGACAGGAGCGGATGTTGCGATTTTTGCAGCTGCTTATGCCTATTTATGTGACGTTTCCTCGCCTAGGCACAGGACTACAAGGGTAACCATAATGGAAGTATGCTACCTAGCAACCATGCCCACAGGAGTTGCTCTTGGTAAGCACACATGCATTTTAGAAGATAACTTCTGTTTTACGGTATGAACATCTTAAGGTCATAGAACACGTTCAGCTATCAATAAAGCGGTCCAGTGGGGCAGCGCTTTTAAGCTGAATAGTAGTAGCCGTGAGCAGGTCGCAATGTTTAATAAACAAAGTTTCAAATCTCATGGCCAAGTGAACTTTGCTGGAAAAGTGGCTACTGCTTTTCAGCGTAAAGGCACTGCATCTCTGGACCGCCTTAGCTGGACGAACGCGTCCAAACAAGGATCGCCAGATGAATGAATAATGGAGATAAAACTTCTGCATGTCTAAGCGTCTATGTTTACCTGATGGGTAAAAGATGAGGATCATAACTATCCCTGTATGCCCATTTTCTCTATTCGCTGAAAGTATCATGTTAGCCAGAGTCTAATGGATGTACCTTGATACATACAGGTACATACAGCTTGTCTGGTAAGATAACGGCGACTCATATACTGTTTTAAAATTGTATTGCATTATTTTTTGAATCTATTTTAGAATTTGAAATCTGCGTGGAAACTTCCAGAGACATATGGATAGGAGGTCAAATGACATAAATTTTAAAAGTTACTGACTGACCATTATCAAGATAAAACGAAAAATTACTATATCCTTTGCATATTTTTATTGTAGAGCTTACCACAAGTAATGCATCAATGTATTTTCCACTCGTGCTTCTGGATTCGCGTGCGTTTGTGACCTAAGCTATTTATTTGGTGCTAATAAGGATGAAGCCTGTATATTTTTTTGGTACAATTTTGAAAATTGGCACTCTTATGTGTCTTTTCCGATTTCTCTTTTTGCTAACATTGCAAAATAGCTCCATATTCCAACATGAGTACATCGGGTGTAATAAAAGTAGGGTCCAGGTAAGATATTTTGGAGAGAGGTCAAGGTCAGATCATTTTTAGCTTTGAACAAGGAGTTCAATGTATTGAATTTGACCTCGAGCCTCAGTTTCAAGGGTTAAGGGTTAGCGTTAGTTTTTCTAATGGAAGCTTGACAGGATTGGATTATTGATAAGAACAATCAAGGTCAAACCCTTAACAACTTCTAACGAGGATTTCAATATCGATCGTGTAAGGTATACCTTGGAATGACTTTGAAGGTGAGTTTGAAAGTTCAATATAAGGTCACCATTGAAATCCTACTCATTGCCTGTCTTTAATAATTTATCATCAATTATCTTTGTAAGTTACTGAGAATTTTTTCTAGTTTCACATACTTGAGCTTCGTTTGACCGTTAAAGGAGACCTTGATCTTAGATTTCAAAACATATTTGGACGTACAATTTTCTGTTCTTTCGATTGCGAGTATTAAAAAGTTAAAAACTAAAAGTTGCCTACGAAATACTCTTGATTGTGAGTCTCAAGGTCAAATCTGAGATACCGTTAAATTTCTTGTTCAAAGGTAGTAAAGACCAAACCTTGACTTTTTTCGAAAATACCCAACATGGAAACATGGAAAAGATTCGCAAGGTTTTGAGAATTGTTGCTCCTATAGGTTTCCACTTGCATTTCCAGAATGTTTATTTTGCTATATCGTATCATTGCTATTCGCGATACCATATTTAAAAAAATCTGCTTTTTACAATTAATGTACAAACGTACAGTCTGCGAACACTGAGAGTTCGCCAATTTTGGCCTAACACGTAAGGTTAAAAATCTCTTTAAAATAAAGTAATCGCAAAATACCCATCGGGGTCTTGTATAGCGAGGTTTAAACTTTAATTTAGATCCTTGGCGACTCCAAAAATTATAATTTTTTTCTTCGATTCGTCATTTTTAGGGCTCTTCAGACATTAAATCGCTTACTCGAAAATTGTGAGGCTTAGGGAAAACTTAATGGAAGCCTTCTTCGTTTAGCATAATCCAAAAATCAGGAAAAAAAATTCTGCGCACAAAAATTGTAATTTATTAAAAAAAGTTTAATCAAACATGGTCTGGGTTACCGGCGGTTTTATTCAATGCTTAAAAAATCAGTGAAAAATTATAATATTTGAGGTAGCAAAATATCTGAGTTAAAATTAAAACCTTACTTTGCAACAGCCTGACGGGTATTTTGAGATTAGTGAATTTTAAAGCAATTTGCACCTTGTTTTTCAGGCCAAAACTTGCGAACTTTGTAAATCAGCAATGAACATACGAAGATACTACTTATTTGCATTGCCTTTTTTGAAAATAACTGCATTCCAGACCACCCCACTTGGAACTTGGTAGTCATTATTCTAATATGGCAGCACAAGCGACACGTGCAAGGTAGAAAAGGACAAAATCGGGAAGAGCACATTACTTATTACTACATGGCTTCTATCTAGGATAAACAAAAAACCGTTTTTGTGTAATATATCAATTCAATTTGTGTATGCAAACTAAGCACGTTTTTAGATGACACGGCACTTTCCAGTGACCAATAATCAAGTATCCGTGACATGGTAATGTGCTTGTTTGTAGGATTGAGGTCTTCAACCTAAGGGTCAATGCTAGTAGTCAGGATGAGCAAAGATAAAGGAGAGCAATTAACAATAAATCAAACCTGTGTCAGTTGGTTATAGATTTTCACCCACTTCCCCTCTAAATCGAATGACGGAGTATCTTAAGCGATGAATAGAAGCTAGGCTGAGCATAAAATATAGCACGGTGGTTGAAAATCATATTTAGAGATAAGTTTAAATTATTAATCAATATATATAGGAGAAATACAATTATATTATAGCATGGATTCACTTGTTTGATTTCGTCACAGTGGAAGTAACTACAATAGGACGTTAGAACAACTGACAGGTATGGAAAAATCTCAGACATGGGGTTACACTTATTTTCTGTCATCCATCAGTTGTTATTTCTAAACGTACTCGTATTTGATGAGATTATCACATAACAATTTACCATTTCTTTTGTTGATAGACCTAGATATGTCTTGCAGACGTTATCTTCATCGTTGGTTTCATCAGTTTTCTGTTTTTTTTACTATTTTGCCATAGAATCTTCAGATAAGAAACAAGGTTCTGTGGAACAGAATAACTTTTAATGAACTCACTTCTAAAGCAAGGATACGAACCAAGAGCGAAGTAATGCATAAGAAATTGCGGTTCAGCCTGGTTCCAATATTCCATTATATGTAGAAAATTATGGTTATATAGCTTCGTATGGTGTACCATAAGAAGTAAGGGAGATTTTTCCAACGATTTTAATTAATACTGTCGTCAAAATATTCCATTATATCATCCGGAAAGTCCAAAATACACTGCAAAATCGAACCCTTCAGTGAACTATAATTATTTCTTATAAAGTGTAAGGAATCTTTCGATTATGTGGAAACTATTCGTATAAAAAATTAGAAAGTTAACAGGAGTTGCTCTTCATTAATGGACAAGCGGTGGCTTATCACATAATTTTTACTTTTGTCTGGGCGTAAAAAACGGTTCGACTTTATATTGAGGTATACGTCATCATCATGTGTCATCATGTTGTACTATCACCTCTCAAAAAGCTTGTGTCGTCCCTTCGGACATCCTGTATAGTTTCTATTTATATTGCAGTACACCCTGAAAATGCATTTTTCTAATTGTTTTTTCAACTCGTTAACGGTAAACTTTAGGGAAGGATTGCTGATAACATTTTTGTTCAGAATGAGCGGAAGATTCCACAAAAGCCTCCATAAAACCATTTTCACCTTGTCTAAAAGGATCTGTAGATCATTCAATGTTATTTGTTCTAATCCTCGATTCAATAAGATCCACCATGAGAATGATTCCGTTTTGTCAGTGATTCGACCGTCAAACAAGAAACGTGTAGTATCATCGAGCTTCACTCGTACATCAATCATAGCTTTGCATTACTGTACATGATAGTATTTTGATTTACAGAGGATGATATTAAATTTATAACTTAGAGTTAGTTAATATCAGGGTCTGTTTAATAAGTATTTAGCTTCAAGTTATGTTTAATTCAATTCAATATCCCGATTTCTAAAAAAGATCAATATTAATCGTGGACCAGAATTTCCTCTTTATTTCTGACCGAAAGTCAAGATAACGCAATATTCTGCATATTACACAGCTGATTACCTAGAATTTGTTGTAGGTATTATAAAAGATATTTTAAGGTTTTCCAACCAAAGCGTTCTGTTGGGCCTGTAGGAACTTTGCGTTCCAACGCTATAAACATTAAAGGGCGTCTGCTTTCATCAGATTCTGGCAGCAAAATTGAATGAAGCAAAAAAGTATAAATTTACATGTTTTTTTTAGGTTCCTTTCTCTTCAACAAAGTATTAAACAAATCATATACAATAATGTTCGTGATAAACACAATTCTTATGGCATTATCAGTCATCTATACCTTGATACGACTAGACTGGCAGAGTAACGAACATCAGAGGCCTTTGTCAGAAGCTAAGAATATATTTTTAGGTAATAAAAGGGAAATAATTCTTTAAGAACAACTATTTTTCAAAAATAATTTAACTTTAAGATTTCTTTGACTACAATCACGTGGTAGCTACAGTGAAAACAATTACCAAAAAACGGAGGAATAATAGAAGAACATACTTGTATTGCTTGATTATCATGATGTCCATATACGTATTCCAGAGAGATGAAAGGGAAGTTATGTACATGTATTGTCAGTTAGTGTTTAACTGGACCTTGGGCCAGTTTAGCAACTTTAGGTAAGATACCTAGCATGGAAATGGTTAAGTAGTGTTATAGTCATACAGACACGGGCAAACTTAACACTTTGATTGTTATACTATTATTACTGTAATACTTATGGATATCGTATTCTAGAAAATACCTAAAATTATTCTGTATCCCTCAGTCTTTGGATGATAGAGATAATCTTTGTTGGTTGTAGCTATTTAACGCGTATGTACTTAACAATAAACAAAACAATGCAGATTATCCACTTTGTCCAGTTCCCGGCTAAACCGAAACCGGTCATCGTCCAAAGCGGATATATTTCACAAATAGCTTAATTTTGTATCAAAATAGACTGGAAAACGACGTACATTGCCCTCAAATTGCTTGTACGGAATCGTGGTTTTGTACGAATCAAGTCACGCTTTATGGCTCTTTCCAACCTCGATGCTAGATCTTTTCGTATTAATATATAGGTCATATGTATCCTGCAGCATATAAATAAATAAATTTTACCCTTACCCGCTTTGCTCGGAGCCTTCCACGAAGGAACAATCTTGTTTTTCATCAAAACTATCAAATTTATCCGTGTCATTTGTAAGATCAGACAATTGCGTTAACATTATGTCATGGAAATGGCATAAAACAAGAAGTATAAACAGTTATATAATGTAAAATTAACAGGAGATTTTCCCTATAACTGTTTAAGGATTAATAAATAAATATGGACGAATTGTGTATGTACGGGGTATTCCAGCTATAGATTGACCCCCTCTAACTTTTTATCCTTTCAGAAGAAAAAGTTGTACATTAATGGTATATGGGGTTTTTCAAATAATATTTTTTGTATGTCTCTGAAAAGTGCTACCGCATGAAGTTGTATTTTTTAAATGGAACGCCCTGTATATTTCCATATTGTATATGGTTTATCATACTTATTTTCGTTAGTTTGGCCAAAATCTGAAAGTTTGTGTGTCATTTACTCATGTGTATCCGAGTTCGGATTATCTTGCGTCTAGCCACCTATGCAATCTGACATAGGGCCGGAATATATATGTGATTAAACTACACACAACAAAGTTTTTGACTGAAATAATAAAAATAATATTTATTTGGAATAAGAAAAAAGATACTAGTACTTTAGTATACCGTATAACCTTTATATACAACTTTTTCTTCCAGAAGGTCATATAAAAAGGTTAGAGGAGGGTCAATTTATAGCTGGACATCCCGTAACTACTTTTAGACGATGTCCGACTGACGGTATGGATATAATGGAGGATATTCACTTTTCCCGGAGAGATCACTTCTACCTCTTCTCTTATTTTTTGCTCTCCTAATTAACCTGGCAAAAAATCGGCTCACAGGCGATGGATAAATTGCAAAAAGTATTTATTCTTTACATTTCTTCACATTGAAAAAACTGCTGTGTCAGTGGAATCATTACTTAAATCGCCAAATATCATTTATGGCTTCATTTATTGACCAAAATAAGCGAGAAGAATTAGAGTGACAACCATGACATAAGATTAAAACAACTTTACACTCATGGTATTTTTGATCGGTTATTGTAGAACATTCCAATCAGCCCTTCAAGATGCGGTGCTACTGATTGCAATGCCTCTGATGAGTGGACTACTGGGCTGGCGCGATACTGCTATAGCAATGCTAGGAGCAGCTGCTCATGCTACTGCAAGAATATTCTATTCAGCAGCTAACGTAGCATATGTATTTTATATAGGTAAGCTTTAAGTGTAATAAGCATTCACTATACAGGAAAAACCAAATTCGTCTGACGGCTTGAGTTCAATATGTACGAGAGAGAAGCGCGAGAAGTGTGTATGAACACATGTTAGAAAGAGATAAAAGCCGGCTGAAAATGCGAAGGCCATCACCAGATTGCCTAGAAACGGTGACGCCGAAGTCGTGTAATCTGCCGCGTTGCCAATGGGTTACACCAGAAAATGTTAGCACAGGCTTTTACAATAGGTTAGAGTTCTGTGAAACCCAAGAAGATATGTTCGAGCATTTAAATGTAATATTCTGTTTTTATTTTGATTAGAATTATTTTAGAATTATCATGCATCTTCAGTGTCTCTGGCAACTCAAGCCGACAGACAAATCTGATTCTCAGTATATATTTCCCGATACTTTATCATGTTTTCCTAAGGTATAAAGCTAATCAACATGTGACGAAACTCACATTTTAACTTACATGCTTTCACTGATTGGCAGTTTTAACAATCAGAAATGCAATAAATAATATGATAGCTTGTTTTGAAAATATGAATCCGTACAAAAAGCTGCAAAAAAGGTCGGACACAAAACACTCCGTCTACATAAACGTCAAAGTTTGTATGCCACTGTCTGGGTGTTTTGAATGTCACTAAATAATCAACTGCTATCTGTGGACACGTTTTGACGTGATGGAGTATATGAAAAATAGTATACTTGACTAATCTGTCAGATCAGTTGAGTCAACAGTTGTTTGTATACTGCTTTTTGCGCGATGCAGATGAATACTTGCATCCAGAACTAATTTTGCAATATCCACTAGTCCAAATTTCAAACAAAAAGATAAACGGACTCGGTTATTCGTAACACGCTTCTTTGAGTGCTTCCCCGCGCACTCCGCATAAATTGTGCATGTCTAAAAAGTGTTTTGTTACGGCTGTAGACTTGAACAGCAACCTCATGAACCTCAAAAACCAATGACACTTCGCAAATTTTAAACTACGCCTCAAATTTGACATGAACAATAATGTCCAAAATATTCAAGTGTTGATTCATCACTTTGATATTTTAACAGATTCCTACACCCATAACGATCAGAAAAAACCATAAATGTTTATCTTTATTTCCCTATGTATTGCTTTATACAGGGTTACAGGAAAAGTCGTGCTAGATCCGTTAAGGGCGTGTAGTACCCATCATTTCTGACTTATTTCATTATGAAACACCCTACCCTAAACTTAACCCTTTTCGAGATATTCAACTTTTAATGTTTTTATTGAAAATTGCCGATTTTTAGGCTACTAAATGTATTTATTTTTATTTTGTGTGTGTTATTATTGCATTTTAACATGTGTAATAAGATGCTTTAGGACGTCAATCATTAAAATAGTCCATAAGTTAATTGAATAGGCTGTAGTAGATAAGTGAATGTTAAGAAATTGAAAAAAATATCAGAAAGTTTATTTTTCTCTAAGGGATATCTAAAAAAAATATTATGGCAATTGTTCGGCAGATGTGTTTTAAAATATCTATGTTTTATCAGCTATCTAACGAGGTATAACAATCTAGGATTTTATTTAAATGCATTGAAAAAACTTAGTTTCATAGGCGACAGTGGAGAAGAAAATTGATACTTAGCCCTAAAAAGTAAAATAAAACAATAGGTAAGCATGAAATATCATTTATTAAATCAGGTTTTCACACAACTTTTTCTTACTCTACAGTTCATGTTCAACATGGCTGCCTCTGTTTCTAATACATTGTCGCATCCTTCTACGGAGACCAGTCTTTACAACTGCAGTGGTCAACGTTGTCCTTAGTTGATTTGCTGCATCGACAATCCTTTCTCTTAATTCTTCCACAGACGAAACTGGATTTGGCTCGCTGTAGACAAGACTTTTCATGCACCCCCACACATGAAAATCCATGGGGGTTAGGTCCGGACTTCTTGCTGGCCATGGCAACGGCCCACCTCGTCCTATCCATTTGTTTGGATAATTTGTGTCCAGCCAGTCTCTGACACTTCTCCTGAAATGGGCAGGGCAGCCATCATGTTGGAACCACATGTCCCTTCTCAAGTTGAGTGGCAGATCATCCAGCAAATCTCTGAAGTCTCCTCTCAAGAAGTTTTCGTAATTTTCCCCATTTAGACTGTCCGGGAGAAAGTAAGGTCCAATCAAATGGTTGGAGATAATGCCCATCCACACATTCACGCTGAATCTTCGTTGGGACCTCGCCACTCTTTTCTTATTGGGATTCCTTAGTACTTTTGGGGCCCAGTAATGGGCGTTGTGATAGTTAGTTATGCCATCGTTATCAAATTTGGATTCATCTGTCCATAAGATATTTCTTAGAAAATCTGGGTCTTCTACGTCAGCATTTAGCATAAATCTGCTGAAGTCCAACCTTCTCGCGGGGTCTCCTTCTTCAATAGTGTGTACCGGCGTGTAATGGTACGGGTATAGGCCAGCAGTATGCACTGTAAACCACACTCTCCATTGCGAAAGTCCCAGATCACGGGCAACACGATTAGTGGAAATGGTCGGATCCGCTCGAAAGCGTTGCACTATCTCATTGTCCTGCAGTTCTTCGTTGTCATAAATTCGTGGTCTTCCCAGGTCTGTATTTCGTCTCAAAACAGAGCCAGTTTCTCGAAGTCTTAGATGAACTCTGTTAAAAACGGCCACATCCGGCACTCGACGACCGGGGAAGCGAGTTCTGTATTCGTTGCGAGCTTGCGCAGATACACAATCGCAGTATCCGTAACAAATAAGCATATCAGCATATTCCTCAGGTGTGTAGGACGTCATCTTCAACACTTCCGTATCACAAGTACAAATCAGAGTCCAGTGAACAAGCACAGTATTCACAAATCAGAAGAAATAGTCCAGAATCGTAGCCAAGTCGAGAAAAAGAGCAAAACGATATCACATCTACTATGTACGAAGCACAAAAGCAGACTGACAACCAAAACAACATCCCGTGTTGGATTTCCAGCCCTAACCGGTTATTATAATATGTTTTCTTTCATTCGCACCCACATTAAATCGTCATGTCTCGCTCGCACGGTGCGTCTAAACTTGAAGGAGAATAGGTGTGGGAACTGCTACTGGAGCGTCCCAACTACTTTTTTTCTACGAAATGTAATACAAATCCTAGATTGTTATACCTCGTTAGATAGCTGATAAAACATAGATATTTTAAAACACATCTGCCGAACAATTGCCATAATATTTTTTTTAGATATCCCTTCGAGAAAAATAAACTTTCTGATATTTTTTTCAATTTCTTAACATTCACTTATCTACTACGGCCTATTCAATTAACTTATGGACTATTTTAATGATTGACGTCCTAAAGCATCTTATTACACATGTTAAAATGCAATAATAGTAATAATAACACACACAAAATAAAAATAAATACATTTAGTAGCCTAAAAATCGGCAATTTTCAATAAAAACATTAAAAGTTGAATATCTCGAAAAGGGTTAAGTTTAGGGTAGGGTGTTTCATAATGAAATAAGTCAGAAATGATGGGTACTACACGCCCTTAACGGATCTAGCACGACTTTTCCTGTAACCCTGTATACACACCTTTGGAAATATGTTTTGTCCAGTGTATCTCTGATTTCATGTGGCTGCAATTGTTACCGAAATGAGGAAATTACTAAAATATAAACTCACATGACACGTATCGCATAATGCTTGGAAAAACTATTATTTACCTATCATTTTTTACACCTTTAAAGTAAAACGGAATTCATGCACGATCCCGAGCTAATTTCATTGAATTATTAAAGACATTTTGTAGGTGGTGTATTTGCTTCCTTTGGACCTATAGTTGCTCCTGTAATCAGGTCCATGGTATCAAAAATTGTAAGCAACTCAGAGAAAGGTAAGGATACTGCACTTGATGTTACTTCATAGAAACTAGATACGGGTAGTTATTTACTCACTATGGTTCAATTCAAGTCTCAAAGATGTCATTAGTCATTAGTTATTCTTAGGCTTGCAGATGTAGATGTCTCTAAAAACGTATGCAATAACTGAGTAATACACTACCCCGATAGCATTAAATATTTAATACAATTTAAAAAAAAATGTTTGTTAAATATTTGTAGCGACAGATTTTTTAATATCTAATAAATATATTTCTTAAATATTCATAAAATGTTCATTATAGATATGTATAGTAAACATAATTCATACATTTTTACTACATTTTTTTTCAAATATTTAGAAAATATATGAGAAAGGATTTTCAAATATCAATTTTATATTTTGATAAAATATATAATATTTTTCGTAAATATTATGTATTTAGGGAATATATGAAACAACAGATTTTCAAGCATTAATCTGATACATACTTTCAGTGTACTTATATATAGAAAATTCTTGATTGGCTATTTTAGCAAAATCTGTAAGGAGGCTTCTATAAAATTGGGTTTATAAACAAATTCACTTTAGATATAATGGTTTAATTTGCTAGAAAACCATTCTAAGCCTCTTCTGCATCTTGCAAATCCACTCATCTGAAAAAAAAAAACTTTCTATGTATGAAGTACTCGTATTATTGAATAAGTAAGCTGATTTTCAGTGGTCTATTCTTTGCGCGAGATATTCTTCCGAACTACTCAACTGGGTCACTGAACAGCACCTAAAAGGACCTCACATTTTCTTCCTATGAGAGTTCGAGATTTGGTTTATTTTTAAGAAAACTTGGAATGTTATTGTAGATAGCTTGATGAAAAATGTCCATGGGCACAACTTGATCCTTAGTAAGTGGATTAATTTGGCAATAACTATTTTGTGATTTTATATTATAATTCAAGGGACAAAAATATAGTATTTTCGACTGTTAAAGTTTTGGAACGTCACTATTGAACTTAAAAACCTGAAAATAGTTACAGCTGCTTTGCCCCCTATCACGACAATAATAATAATAATAATAATAATCGATATATACAACAAAAGCCTTTTTGATATGTTGTGATTATATCACTTTTCATTGGAATGTTACGAATATAATTTTCTTATCCATTTTCAGATAAATCCACCAATCCCAATAACTGTTATACTTCAAGGCTAGTTATTTATGGTCTTGTAAATACCTTTATACTTAACTGGCACAATAACGTTCACTGGTCAAATAAATTAAGCTATGTAATTATCGCAAAACTTACACTTTTCCACAAAAAAAAAACACTCAAATAATGTAGCACTTGGAGGTACACAGGGTGCAAGCTATTATAGTGAAACTCAGAGGCAAAATGGATGCCGGCAAACGGGTCGGCTCAGGTCGGCTTTCCATTATGGTCGCTCGGGGTTACACGCACATGCGCCGTAGCCGAAAATATTTAATAAATATTTTCTAAATATTGGGGTTTTAATATTTTCCATTGATTGAAGAGTACATTTTTAATGAATATTGTATTTAAAATATTTGGAAGATATTGAATAAATATTTAATAAAAATGTTATATTTCAAATATTTATTAAATATTTTTTAGATAACAAATATTGTAGGATAAAAATATTATTGAATGTTGAATATATATTTAATGAATATTTCGTGATATCGGGATACTGTTTTATGAGTATCTTTTTAAAATTTAATGACCTGCCCTCACGTAATCTTTTACCATCGACTCTATCATTAAAAGTCACGAATATTTAAACCATGAAATCAATTATTTGTTTTAGGAAAGGCATTCTCAGTTTTATCTGTGGCCGACAACGCAGTTCCAGTAATATCAGGAGTATGCTATGGTGCGCTATATAAATCAACGCTATCGTCGCATCCTTCGGCAATCTTCTACTTAACGATGGGAACACAGATTGGAGTTTTTATGTTGGTTTTGTAAGTATTGTATGCAAAGAACAACTATTTCGAATAGAGTAGACGGAGCCGAGCCTTTGTCGCCAATTAAGTTGCAAACTTTTGGGTAGATTTGCCTACCAAAACCAATCAGATTGTAAATACTCTCATCGGACCATATTATTTTTGAAGGGAAAGTAAAATCTTCTTCAGACGCTCGTGTGTACCTACTACTCACAAAAATGCTGGTGCCGTTCGCTATTCCCTGGTCTAAGTCCTTTCGCAAATTTATAGGGGTGATATAAGTTGTAGTCACCGTTGTTGGTGGTTACGTCAATGCCATATGAAATAAGTAAACAGAGTCTCCGTACCATGGGCGGATCTTAATTTTCCTAAACCGATTCAAAATTATTTACTAATCGTAATTCTGTATATGTACCTCTTTTAAGCTCCTGATTGAGCGCAGAGGTCGTGATATGTTGTCCTTTACTTCTCATATCGTAGATTGAAGGGCACTCATACGTAACGACAAAGTTTTCGAGACGGAGACACACAACTAAAAAAACGTACGTCTTTGATGAATCCCACATTTTTCTCAATTTGCTTAGTTGATATCTGAGAGTTCTCAGCAACTGCTTGTAAAACACTATTTTGACTTTCTTTTTTTCGAGACGTAACAGGCTTTTTGAATGAACCTATTCATTTAAATGTCGAGCCAACTCTAAGAAAATGGACTTGCTTGGCTGCCTTCTTTCGGGAAGTTTATCACGATAGATGTCTGCAGTACTTTTAGTACTTTTGTTGCACAAAATGTAGCACGTCAGCATGTCAATCTTTCCTTCATTGCTAAAATAACCGCCTGGCATTTTTGACGATAATAAAGCAATGTAAACAATACACAATAATAACAATACTCGGTGACAGGGATTCACGTCAAGTAAAGCATCTGTTTGCAACGCCTACTTAAAAAAATAAAAAAAACAAACATGGGTGACTTCGAAGTTGAGTCATTTATTTTAACAGTGAGTAGATCTTATCAAAAGAAATGTCTTTTCCTTTACCATTTTTCTGGTAAAATTAAAGTAACAAAGTTATAGCCCTTTGGAAGTTTGAGTACCGCCCTGTCTCAATAATAATATTATGTGCTCGTGTTTGGCGACAACGGATATAATCCGCCTTATCGGTTCATCGCATCGGAAACAAAAAAGCGAAAGAATTTGGAACGATGTTTTTACAATTATTTCATTCAGTTGTATACAGTCAGTGTCAGTCGGTAGTGAATAGTGGTGTTTGCTGCGTGGCTCAAACGAAATAAAAAATGGCACATATTTATGCGGATCGGTTTCCCAATCGAGTGCAACCAACCCCTCGTGCCTTTGTTAATGTAGTACAACGGGTTCGTGAATCATTTGACTTAAGACCTCACATATGGACGGCATGCCGGTGCTCCAAGACCTCACGATCAAATACAGGTCCGCACTGAAATACTTGTCGGGAGGATACTTTATAAAACAAGGTAAAAATTTTTTTTTAATTTTTATTTTATTTTTACACACATATTTTGGTTTATCTTCCTTCTACAATCATTATCTGAAAATTAATGACTCAACTTCAAAGTCACCCTGTATCGTTAAGTTCGTATAAAAAATGCTATTGGATACAAGATGTCCCTTTTTCGAATATTATAAAAAATAAAGTGATGATGAATTCTCAAAAACGAACCGTCGGGCACTACATTTAGAAACACCATCATGTAGTGCCTAAAAAGTGAAAATGGAAAAGTTTTATTAGTTTTTGATATCTCTTAAAATACATTCAGGAAAAATAAAAATTATTTAGCCAAAATTTAGTTTTTTCCAAATATCTCAGTAAGTAATGCAATTTTTACAAGTTTCTCAACGGTATGCAAATACGATCCAACGAACGCAACTTTTCCTAATCAACTTAAGCTGTATTTTCCGCAGGTTTTGAGTTTTCCGTACATGGGATCCTTATCTTGAACTTCGATTTTCTAAATAATAGCTGTTTACTTATGATGGGTGTGATCCGAATAGATCCTTGGATAAAAGTACATAGTTTGTGGAAAATTATGTTGCAATCACTGCTGCTATAGCGTTGTCACCCTGTTGATCAAATAAAACGAATTAAATATGATTTAATTAATCCCATATTAATAGATTTTTTGATGCGTGATGAGGTTATTTAACAGAATTTTGTTGCGCTAAAATGAAAAGACGTAAAATTTCTATTTATACCGCGAAAGTGAAGCGATTTTCCAAGAATTTGTAGATTTAAAATGAAAGTATATCTATATATGAGGCATAAAATTGAATTTTCCGTTGGTTCTTTTCAATATTCATACAAAAATGGTTTGCATTTTTCGTTGTTGCGTTAGGAATACAATTTTCTTACCAAACCTCAAATTGGGATTGAGCACTCAAAGAAACTCACAGAGTGATATAAAACAAACTACCTCACCACTGTTAAGGCCAACGTCGGAGTACATGCCCTCTTTCAACGCCGATGACTATTCTACCGCTAGAAACATCTCATGATGCCGTCGCGCGATGTGCCAGCCAGACACACCCGCCTGTCTTCCGCCTTTCATCCTAACCGTGTCGAACTTCGTACATCCAGATCCGTCGAGACTGTGGAACAATCTACAAAATGAGTCTTTTTCCAGTTCTATTAACCCTATGCAGTTCAAAAATCAGATTAATAAAGTTTCTTTGGGAGCCTCATAGCAGTCGCGGTGCCCTGGCATTTAGGCTTCTGTCTGCGCTGCTGCTTCGGTTTGAAAAAATGGAAAACTATCTCCTGTTATTCAGCTTTAACTGCTTTTTGCAGTGCAAAATCTCCACCATTTTCGGCAATTGCCTGGAACATAAGAGCTGCATGGGAACCCACGCACTTTCATGCGTTTTCGCAGAAAAATACGAATTTAATGTGAAGTGTCAACAACGGTCAAAGTGGCCGCTTAAGCTTGATCGACTTGAGTATGAATTTGCATACTGGCTACTGTTTTCTTGGCTCAGATCAATGATGACTTTTGAATTAAACATTCATTTTCAGATATATTCATATCAAGACTGATAGTCGTGAGTTCGAAGGAGATGAAGTCGAAGCAGAATCAGCTCAACAAACGTAGCACATATTTATTTTATTATATATAAGTGTAGTTATAATAGATTATCCAAATCATCAAGGAATACGTCATATTCTAATTAATATAATACCTCATAGTTTTATGGACAACAACAAGCTGCCTTGAATTAGTACATATTGTTATGTTACTAATTGTATTTTATATGAGTGACAATAAAATTGTTGCGTTTAATCATATGATTTTATTAAATTAGACCATTTTTCCCTCATTACTAGGTTGGTACAGAACCTTGATTTCGTTCAGGAAACATTATTGGTAATAACACTGCTTACGTCCTTCCAGCCAATCCTGTACAGCTGTTTCATGTTTATTTACAATCATAAGTATGGGCTAGGTGGCACAGCCAACAGAAACTCAAGTAGTATGAAGGCAATAGAGATACGGTATCACACGTGAAATTTGTTATCAGAATGGTGAAGTAAATAAATAGCAGCTGTTGTTTGAAACTTTAAATGTATCTCAGTTCGTTTTAACATCAGAGTTATCATTATAATTGGTAGATGCTGGCCAATATTTTTTAAAACCGCTCAAAAAAATTTTTCTTTGGGGGAGGAGGGTGGGTGGACAGAGAAAAAAATCTGTATAACTAAGAAAACAAATGAATGTAACATGTGATATGTTGAATTCATAGAAAAAGGTGCTGTCAGATACAGCGAGGGGCCGAGGGGTGCTTGATATATTAGGGGAAAGTCGCCTATATCGTACTGGCTCCTTAATCGTACCTTGTCGATATTTTAGATATTACGCTTATGTGTAAAACATCTTTCGCCACAATTAGAAACCCTAAGGTTGGCAACCAGTAATACCAGCAAAAGTTGGACAGTAGCACGTATCGCTCCCGACATATTTAACGTTTTATTTTGTGCGGCAAAGTGATATAAAGTTTGGTTGATCTACCGTAAGTAGTTTTGGATATTTTAGTTGACTAAGCCTAAAATCTATTGTATGCCTTTAAGATTAACAACTTTTATACACTTTTTGATAACTTTAAACATAACCTTATTTCTATAATTTCCAGAAAAACTTTATCCTTATTTATTTGGTGTAAAGTTGCCTTGATCGTACCATTAGAGATTGCCTAAACCGTACCGGTACGATTAAGGCAATTTATACTGGTACGATTACGGAAGCTCTGTAGTAACAGTTTTTTTACCTTTTTATTTTTTTTATAGATAATGGGAGAGCCAAATGAAAAGAGAAAGTACGGACAGTGGTCTGAAGCGGACATGAAAGCAGCCTTAAATGTATTTCGTGATGGAAACATAGGTTTTAATGAGGTTTGTCGCCAATACAATTTCCCAAAGCCAACATTTAGGAGGCATTTAAAGTCCTATAATGTTAGAGCCAATGAATCAAAAAAAAATAATAGGTCGATCCTGTACTTTTTCTGCGGAGATGGAGGAAGACTTGGAAAAGCATATTTTAACACTAGAGTCAATTTTTTTTGGAGTGACTATTCGAGAAGTAAGAAAGGCTGCCTTTGAATTCGCTGAACGCAATGGTCTTAAACATAATTTTAATAAAATCACAAGGATGGCTGGAAAAAAATGGTTTTATAGCTTTATGAGTCGCCATCCACAACTTTCCTTGAGACTACCAGAATCAACTTCGATCGCACGGTGTAAAGGTTTCAACAGAAGCAATGTTCAGGAGTTTTTCAATATTTTAGAAAAACTTGTTGACGATCATGCTTTGACTGCTCCGAAAATATACAATGTCGACGAAACGGGTTTTTCTACCGAACAAAAAAGATGTCAGAAAGTGCTAGCTAAAAAAGGAAAATCCCAGGTTGGTGTCGTAGCTAGCGGCGAAAGAGGTGTGAATACTACATTCGTATGCTGCGCAAGTACTGCAGGTCAATACGTGCCACCAATGGTAATTTTCAAGAGGAAAAGGATGGCGCCAGAGCTGGCAGATGGAGCTCCCCCAGGATCACTGGTCGAAATATCGGATACTGGTTACATTAACGCCGATTTGTTTGTTACTTGGTTAAAACATTTCATTGCTGCAGTTAAACCTTCAAAAGAGGATAGAGTGCTTTTGGTTTTAGATGGACACACCACACATTCGAGAAATTTAGCAGCCATTGAGATGGCCCGCGAGAATGGGGTTATTATTTTACAGCTGCCAGGGCATACCACCCACCGTTTACAACCACTTGATGTGGCAGTATTTAAGCCATTCCAGGTCTATTATGACCAATCGGTTGAAAATGGTTGAGAGAACATCCCGGGAGTACAATCGGTCAATTTCAGGTGGCCCGATTAATCGGAGAAGGATATGGAAAAGCAGCATGTGTCGCAAATGCCATAAGTGGATTTAAAAAATGTGGTATATGGCCTGTGGATAGAAACGTTTTCACAGATGTTAATTTTGAAGGCGGAGATGTTCTTCAAACTGAACCAACACAAAAAGCACTTGCGGAAAGCAAGGACGCTGACGATACACCTTCGAGTGGTGATGATGTGCCCTTGGCGCTTTTAGTTAAAAAACGGAAATCGTGCGCCACCTCTGAAACTCAACCACCCGATGTTTCTTTCGAAGACATTCTACCAATTCCAAATAGTCCTGGCAATCAGAAAAAATGCAAGTAAACGTGCACAAGCGGCAAAAGTTTTAACTTCAACCCCGCATAAGGACGAATTGATAGCAAAGCAATCTACTATCGAAGAAAAGAAAAAGAGACTGGCAAAAAGAAAAATAGGAATAGTCAATGGCCAACCGGAAAAAAAAGTAAAAAGGAAAACTGCTTCGTATGGTTCAAATGACGTAGTGGTAGAAATAGTAGAGGATGAGCGGCTTTGTGTTATATGTAATGAGTGTCGAGTAGAAAATATGATACAGTGTTCCTTGTGCAAGCTTTGGGTCCATGAACTTTGTGCGAGTTATGAAGGAAGTTCTTCGTACTTTTGTGACAGTTGTTGTTCCTAAATAACACATGTAGTTATTATTGTATGTCCTTGTTCGTTTTTTTTTGTAATACCCATCTACACACATATTAAAATTTGTATTCTTGTTTACTGTTATGCTACCATACTTAAGTGGTACGATATAGCAGATCAGTACGATTTAGGAAACCTAGTGGTACGATTTTGGCATCTGGTTTCCCAAGTCGTACCATTTGCAATGTTTATAAAAAATGTATTTTTCTCTTAAATTAGATAAGTAGCCATAACAAAAGAAAGTAAAAATATCTGAAAATCATTTAGTTAAATATTTAAAATAAAAGGAGCCCCTTAATATTGAAAATGTTTGCTTATTATACATTTTTCCGAAAAATGGTACGATTTAGGCGACTTTCCCCTAATTGTTACAATCATTTAATCATTCTATTGGCAACTATCTATGAGAGGAGAGTTGTGTGTAGTAAAATGCGCTATTGACTCTGAATTGAGTTATTCTGTTAATAACTTATATTTTATTATAATTTTATTTCGAGGTCATTAATACTACTACTGTAATATAAACTCTTTGAAATTAAAAATTATTTTCTAATTTTTAGTTCGGTTAGCTATAAAAGCGTGTTTTTTAGTTTTTTTAAACTATTATTTATTTTTCATTTTTTGTGGTATTGAAATGTCTTACGAATCATTTCGTAATCTAGTCATTTCATTTAAAGCTTCACTGTTGCATGGGGTTTTTCCTGTTAACTTAGAGCAATCAAGTTCTTCAATCCGAATACCGTCTAAAGATCTTAGGCGACTAATTGCTCGACTGTACAACAACTCAGGAATAATGGCAACATTCGCAATGAACAAGATAAGAATACCTTGAAAATATATCTGCCTCCGTTGTGCTGTGCCGAGTACCCCAATCAACAAAGAGTAAGTCCTAAACTGCACGCATGCGCAGATCGCGCGCTAGCTCTATCTCTCTTACTCCCCTACATAGGATCTATAAACGAATTTGTCAATCCTGGCGGTCCTAATAAGGAGAATGGAAAACTGTTATCAAATTATTGCATTGTCATCGGTTCCATGAAATTGGTGAAAATTATGCTCAAAGCTAATACAAGCCATGATTTTTTTACAATTTTCTCAACGGCATGTAAATACGCCCCAAAGAACACAAATCCATCTCAATTCAACCTAAGCTGTATCTCCCATAGTTATCGAAATCCCCACGTATGGGATCCTTATCTTTGACATGGTGATATTTCCTTTTGACTTTTTTTAATCATGCAAAAACACGAAAGATATGACTCGTTTCTGCGAACGCGTTCTTATCACATTCTTTTTAGATGACACCCATTGGAAGGTAACCAGCCACACACAGATTGCTTAACTTTTACTGGCCGACTAGGCAACCAATACGCTAATACTCTCTAAATCGTATTGGTCTGTCTGGTTTCTTGTAACCATGTATTTGTTTTTGTGTATCCACTAGCAAGAAAATTAAGGATAATAGTAGCTATGTGTTAGCTCACCATTTATAAATAATGGGTGATTCAAATTGAGTTTCCACATTAAAAGTATTTAGAAAAAGAAGAAATTGAAAATTATAAAAAAAATATTTATTTGCCCTTTGCGGGTAGTTCATTACAGTTATGCATGAAAGATAATATCAAGTAGATGATTGCCGCGGCTACTTTGTGGCACAAACCAGGCCCTATGTTGGTAATTTCGCGTTTGATCTCCTGTTTCGGCTCCGAAATGGTGTTCGGGTTATTTTTGTAGACTTTGCTCTTGAGATACCCACAAAGAAAATAATCTAAGGGAGTTAAATCACAGGATCGCGGCGGCCGAATGATATCGCCGTTACGTGAAATAACGCGACCTGGAAACTTGCCGCGCAGAGATCTTCGATGTTCATATTTTCCAACTGTTTCCAGAAAAACTCTGTTATCATGTTCCGTTAGCGAATGCCTTTAATCGTAATAGCGTTCTCCACATGATCCTCGGAAAAAAAATAGACCAATAATGCCTCCGGACCAAAAGGCACACCAAACAGTCATCCCTTAAGGATGCATTTTCACTTCAATAATCTATCTTGGATTTTCCAATCCCCAAATACGAAAATTGTGAGTGTTTACGAAGCCCCCAATATGAAATTGTGCCTCATCACTAAATATTATTTTCATTGGAAAATTTACCCCTTGTTGTTATCCATTCGGCAAACACACGGCGCTGTTGATGGCTTCAATTCCTGTGTTATTTGAACTCTGTATGGGTGCAACTGCAACTATTTTGTTAAAATCCGAATTTTTGCACCAAATTCCAAATTGTCCTCTCACAAGGCCGATTTTGTGCGCCAAAAAATTCATGTAAAGCACGAAATGTATTTTTCATCGATCGGCCGTTTTCATAATAGGCTTGGATAATTTTAACAGGTCGTTCGGTTGTATATTGCTCCAGGACTGTTTTGTTTATATTTTGACGTTAGAAATGTCACGTTGTCGTTGACAAATTCAGCGGCGTTCCAAAAAAAAAAAAATTATTTGTAATGTGGAAACTCAGTTTGAGTCACCCGTAATATCGGAATTTCTTTCACTGATCCTAGCATAGCAACCTCACTCACAATCAGCCATATGATTGATGGGAGGTTTCCTATTGGCTCGTTGGAAGACGGTTTGGATGAATATGGAAACAAGTCGTTTTTCAGGTGGACCTGGGTAGCCTGGTGTGTCATAGTGTTCGAATCCCGCCCTCGGAACTAACATGCGATGGATTTAGTGGTGATGGTCTTGGGGATTGTCCGCCTTATCTGTGTACATATCATTATGAATCAGTGTCTATGGCAGTGGCGAAGCGTCCATGTAACCATTGTTACGATTGGTAACAGTTAAAAATCTTAAAAATAAATATTTTATAACTAAGTACTGTGAAATAATATCATTTATTTGTTTACCAGCGATATGTAATAGTAACTCAGTAAATAGCAAACTAGCCTCACGAAAATAATGCGCCCTATAGTGTCTAGGTTTTGCGAACACGATGAAGCTGACTCGCCTCGACTTGGTTGTCGGCTGTTACCATTTTCATTTATGGATACACTTGGTAGTCTGTCGGGGACTGTCGGTACCGGCTCGTGTCTGATCGCTGTAGCCCGAGTGCGTGGGGCGCTGCGACTATTATGTGGGCCAATTTTTGATCTGGTTACTCACTTCTCACTCATTAGTAGCCGTTTTGGTTACCGGCTGTAGTATGCGTACAATTAAACATGGATGAGTGTCGCTGCGTAATCGATCAACTACTTGAAAAGTCATTCTCTTTGTTTAATTTTTAAGAAAAAAAAAGAAGATAATTGAAAATGGAGGACCAACGCCTATTTTAGATAATTTTTAAAAGGAATAAAAAAACGTAGTTTGATATTTTAAGTTAAGTTGGTATATGGAAACTCTTGTTTATGTGGTTGTAAAAAACAGATTGTATTGTTGGCGATGTCTTCTGTTTTATACAGAATGAAATGCAACGATTTAAATAGTTTTAGGGCTCTAAACAGGAGACCTGAAATTTCACCGTTACATGTGAGATTTGTAGGCAATTTAATTCAGTTTGTCAAAACAAGAATCGGAAGTTGTCTTAACCAAGCTTTTAGGCAGCACACTTCTAGATACCGTAAGTTTTTTGGCAAAACAGGAATTACCGTTCATTTTGAGGAGGATGACTCTGACAATAGAGGAAATTACAGGGAATTATTAAGATTCATTGCCAAAAAATTTTCGGAACATCTAGTTTTTTCGGACGGCTTGGATTAGTCATAGCATAAGACGATGAGGTATATCAAGTGCCCCAGATGCTCAGTCCAGGAATGTTTACCTTAATTTAAAAATAGTTTAAATAAAATACCTAAAATAAGCAAAAACTTATATTATATAATAAATCGACTTCGAAGTTGAGGCATTTATTTTAACAGTGAGTAGATCTGATCAAAAGAAATGGTTTTTTCCTTTAACATTTTTCTGGTAAAATTAAAGTAACAAAGTTATAGCCCTTTAGAAGTTTGAGTACCGCCCTGTCTCAATAATAATATTATGTGCTCGTGTTTGGCAACAACGGATATAATCCGCCTTATCCGTTCATCACATCGGAAACAAAAAAGCGAAAGAATTTGAAACGATGTTTTTACTACAATGTACAATTTTATTCAGTTGTTTTCCGTCAATGTGTCAGTCGGTAACGCGTGAGTGAATAGCGGTGTTTGTTGCGTGGCTCAAACGAAATAAAAAATGGCACATGTTTACGAAAATGCTGAACTTGTGGACATGATTCTTATTTACGGGGGGGGGGGGGGGAGCCTTTATGCGGATCGGTTTCCCAATCGAGTGCAACCAACCCCTCGTGCCTTTGTTAATGTAGTACAAAGGGCTCGTGAATCAGGTGACTTAAGACCTCACAGGGGAGAGCATGCCGGTGCTCCAAGGATACTTTATAAAACAACTTAACATTTTTTTTACACACATATTTTGGTTTATCTTCCTTCTACAATCATTATCTGAAAATTAATGACTCAACTTCAAAGTCACCCTGTATAATAAACTTTTTTTAATAAGAAGGGTGTCACGATTCACGTTCAGAACGTTGCTTGTCTTGAGGAGGGGGTATCGGTGATGGAGCGGGGGTCTGCGAATTGAAAAACACGTCCAAAACTTGTTTGAACTAGGATTCGCCACTGTGTGGAGTACTTGTCACTGAAAACTAATAATGTTGTATGCACAAGTCATGTGGAACCAACTTATATGAGTACGGTTTGGTAGTAGAGAAAGAAAAAACGGGGTTCTATATAAAATCATGTTACGCAAAATAATATTTTATTCACAGCATGTATAAAATATAAAGTACATAATTTTGAATGAGAGTTTGCATTAATTTCAAAATGAGACAATTACCTAAAATAAATTCCATATTCTGTGGATCTAAATGACATTGTTTCAATGAGTTATTAATTAAAAACGTATGCACATGCACAGATATAGAAGATACAGTAAACGTATACAGTGTTTCACCTTTTATCATCAATATGTCGGACGAAATTAGAATTTTCCCAATATCAGGATCTTTGAATAAAATTGATAACCACCAATTCATTCTTTTTACAAATGATGGATCTATAAAATAGTAGAACGAGTCAACTGATTGCTCTGCCCTATACTTTCTGCAATAGTCAAAGCGGCAATTGCATTAAGGTATGAGAATGCAAATTTTCGACTGATTTTTTCTGGTTTCTGAAGCAGATTATATCGTTTTTAATTTTTCCCGTCAGCATTCCAACATAAACTGGCTTGGAATAGTTCATCCTACTACTGGATTATGAATGGTTTTTAGGCACTACAATCGGGTCTATAACAGCTTCACCATTAAAGCCGTCCGATTTCAGTGATGACAGATTACAGGAGTGACCTAATCATAACTACAGGGCAATTTTTCTAGAAAAATTCACCTATCAGCTTGAAACAGAATTTTTTGAAGTGTTTATTTACAGTTTGGCGTACATGGAATACTTTGAAATTTAAGCAGAAACAAAAATATCATATGTTTTGTATTAAACAAATCCATGTTGTATCAATTCAAAAATTGCCGTTTCCTATTCCATTAGTCAGTACCAACTGGAAAGTTTGTATTTTGATCGCATCCATAAATGATTAATCTTCGCGAAACTATCGTGAATGGAACCAGAAGTGTACTTGCAATTCATTTTTGTGCGGCTATTCTAAATACAGCGTTCTAATCGACTTACGTTGGACGAATTTTTTTAGAATTCTTAGAAGTAGCACTTTTATTCGAATAATTGGGAAACCCTGTATAGACTACTGAATATAAATATACTCAAAACTAACAAAAATCAATAATAATACAGTTTCATCGTGTCTTTGAGCAGACGTGATGCCCGTTTACAGTTCCCATCAAACTGACTGATGTTTCCTGCATGACAGTTGGATTGAGACGACATCCTTTGTTCGATGAACGTCCTCGTTTCACCGACAATACGGTCATTGTAGTCTGGTTTCCAAATCCGCTGTATCGCGGATTCTGCTTTTTGCAAAGGAGATACCTGAAAATAATTTGCTAAGTACCGTATGCAGTTCGAACGATTTTGTAAAAATATAATAATATTAGCAGTGCCACTTCTAAGCCTGCTCAAAATTCCTATTATTTATATTTAAATATCTAGCTATTCTAGAATTTTAGCATTTATATTTTACAGGGTGTTGATTTGAAAAATTCCCACCACATATTTGTCAAAAACCACCGATTAGAACAAAAAACACGTCAAAACATTTGTCGAGCCACCAGGGTCATTCCTTTAAAAATTTTAAATAACAAGGGATAACGAGTTATATCTTGTTTGAAACATCTTTCGAAGTCTTTTATTTTGACGTTTGACTTTTTCAAATCAGTCGAGTTGTTTTCGAAAAAATTAGTATAATCTCTATTTATCTTAATTTGTTCAGATAGAAAATATCACTTTTTATTTCAATAAGTGTTCAAAATGTTGCCCGTTAGGGTTTGTCAAATCTACAATTCGTTTATAATTTAAAACGGGAACTACCAACATGGACAGCAATTCGAAAGATTAGACGTGGCAACAACCAAATAACAACCCGAATTTTTTCCGCATGTTTTTCATCAACATAGATATCCTCGGCAAACTGTATTTATTGTTATACCTGTTTAGTTATTTGTTGCTAAGGGAAAGAAAGAATGTAATTTGCTGTCAGTTACCTTTGTGAAAATCTTGGGAAGGTGAAAATTAATTTATTGATTCAGATTTTACTTCCAAAATGGTTTACATACTAGCCGAAAGAGTGGAAATAATTCTAATTTATGGTGGCCAAAATCAATGTGCTCGGCAAACTGCCGTCACGTTTAACGCCAGGCATCCGAGAAAGATAATTTCGCATAGGTATGTTTTGGACCTCGTTACCAAATTTACTCAAACTGGATCTGTTGCAAATAAAAAACGTGATCATCGGAGAGTTTTGGATGAAGCCGCTCAAGTTAAAGTTTTGGGTCATTTTGGAACAAATCCTAATACTTCATTACACAAAATTGTTGCTGCGACTGGCATTTCTGGAATATATGCTTCAGTGATGAATGCACATTTTATCTGAATGGATTTGTTAGTAAGCATAACTGCAGGTATTGGAGCAATGAAATACGTATATTTTTTGATAATTAGTTGTTGAGCTGTTGGGTATTTTATTTAAATAAACATCATAGTTTGATAGTCTGAGAACCTGCTATCTTGAGTAAATTTTGTGTCGAAAATATTATTAATTATTATTATACTTAATTTTAGTAAAAATATACTTTGAGATGATGGGTTGTTTATATACGCTTGTTACCGACTTCAAACGTATTCTGGGTTATAGTTAAAGTTATAGTAAAATATACTTTTCTACTCGAATAAGTCGCATTATCCCTGGAAACAAAGAACAAGTAGGGTATTATTGATAATGTGTCTATAAAATTTGGCTTTCATCAAGAATCTAAGTAACTGTTTGTATTGAAATTGATTATTACTGAATGATATTATAATAAAAAATTCAATTTATGAGCTGTCTGAAAATGACGTCTATAAGTAAATTTAACTAAAATTTAACCTAGGTCTTTGTACTGCTATAGAAAATGTTTAAAAATGTTCCCTTGATGCTGAACATGCAGTCAAAGTCTTCAAATGAATGTTTATTTCACACTTTCTAGTAGTACAAATACTTTAAATTTTAGTTATGTTTAATGAGGCGTCATTTTCAGACCTCTCAAGAAATACATTTTATATTATAATAAGAATCTATAGTAATAAATTACAAAACAAGCATTGAATCACTTGGTTTTTTGATGAAAGTATGACTTTATAGACAGATTGTCACTAATCATTTACTTGTATTTTGTTTCCATCGATGCTATGAGTTGTTTGACTCGAGAAATAACCAATTTTTTAAAACAAATAAGTAATATGCAAAAATCGTTTGTACAAACCTTAAAATAGGGATCCGACAGTGCAAAAATATACAAGGTGATCGATTCAATTTTTTTGTGAAAAAGTACATTCTGCGTTTTTGACCACTCAGTATTAAATTCAAAAAATGGATGAGTTAGTCTAAAATAAAGTACAATAAAATATTTTTGGAGCAAAATTCATCTCCCCAACTATCAAAATAGCAGGTACGCAGACTATTAAACTTATACGTTGATAAAATACTCAACATCTAATTATTAAAACTCATAAGTATGGTGTATCAATCTTCTTAATTTAAAAGAGCTTATTCGAGTATGTAATGAAATGTGCGCCATTCCTCTTGAAAAAATCAACTTTGATATGTGGCTCAAAATTGGGGCGCCCTGTATAATTGTTAATATCTTAGAAATATGACTCCAGATACCATAAATAGTTTTTGTTTGGGAGCAATATTATGTCCTAACACGGTTGGGACACACTGTATATTAGTCCTCAGAGCATTGCGGCACGTACATATAAAATTCTGATCTAGTTTGCCCCATTCCTACGGATGTCCATAGTAATTAGTACGATAGTTGTCAAATAGTTGGTGATAACAAGATTAAAGGGACTAATAGTAGCTTTCGCATCTGTAGATATATATATATATATATAACTTGAGACGTGGTCATTGTCGTCTAGACCAGTTAGGTGAAAAATTAAAGCTTCCGCCTTTTGCTTAAATTTTGTCGAAGTACCCAACAAAAGGCGGAAGCTTTAATTTTTCACCTATATATATATATATATATATATCTATACGACTGTGTAGGCCACTGACGGCATAGGTATGCTTGTCAAGTTGTTTCATTAACTCACCGTTTGAAATACTTCCTGAAAGCTCCGCTGACGAAGTACAGTGCAATAGGATTGGCGCATGAATGGCTGTAGTACAGGCAAAATCCGACGATCCTCAAGTAGTGCCAGAATGCATTGTACAGCTTCAGAGAATCGGGATTGAAGTAGAAAAATAGCATGAAGGCGTGCAAAGGTGCAAAAAATATTGCAAACACCAACACGAACACTAATACTGTTACAGCAACCTTCTTTCTTGCTTTCATCTGGAAGAGATTATTTTATAATTAATAAATAGTCTTTCAGTTTTGTAGGCATTTTGATAGACCAATCAGTAGAGCATATTGCTCGAAAGAAATATTTGTTTTTGTGTAGGCAATAAAAGATAGTATCCCAGACAGATTACGTATAGAAAGTCCCGTGGGTGGATGTTTTCTGAAGTAGCTGAGGTCTTCATTGGGGGTGACGGCACCGTGTGTAACAAGAACATCAATATGCACCAGTGAGGCGAGAGTCTAAAATAAGATAAAATAATACTGGTATTTATTCTTAAGTTTTATGTCGTATCTTGAAAATTAATAATTTCGAAGTGAAATCGAATAAGACTTTTACTAGTCGTTTTGTGTGGACTCGTATCACTGATACCTTATTTTATGGTTTATATCGAGATGACACAAACTAAATCTACCAGGAAGACACAAAGGTGAATGAAAAAATGATCAAAAGCTTCTGACACTCGCACTGTAATTGATTGAAATTCTAGTTTAGACTGTCTTATTGTACAGCTTCAAGACCCTAAAAATATTATCAGGATCCGGCTGACAAGATGAGTTTTTCCTGTTGATATATTGTAAAGTTTGCTGATTTAAAAGATATAGTTCTGATAACTTTCTATGAGGATCGCTTACAATTAGTTTTTTGACGTTTCAGACTTCCCTGATCATTTTCAGAAAAATCTTTGTATGGGTATATGAACATTTTTTGATCTTAATATATTTATACGTTGCCAGCTCCGGTAATTCTTCGCGCATGTTAGCCAGATCGATGCTGCGCAGATGTGGAAAGGGACAACGTTGCCAGATGGACCGTAACTACCGGTAGAGCAGGCAAAGAACGTCTATCGATTTTGTATGTGACTGACTTTTTTCCCTTTCCCGGAGCCATCTGACCAAAGTCCCCCAATCCAACAGTCTAGTGTTCTGAACCAGTTGGTACAGTTTTCCTACCGGTACTCTGCTAACCTCTTGTGATCCAGCGCTTCGCACGCACATAAGACATGCAGCGCTGATTCTATTTCTTTTCCGCATTGTCTTAGGTCTCCATCGTATAGCCCTATTTTGCTCAGGTGTTCTTTCAGGCCATTTTGTCATGTTCGTAGCCGTGTAACTGCACGGACTGACTTTCTACTCATCGAGAGCAGTTCCGCAGTCGTGTTTAGACATGGTCCTGAGATGCAGCCTGGATCCAGTCGCTAAGTGCCAATGTTGTTTCTTACTCATTCTTTGACTTGGCTCCTTATTGTGTTTTTTGGTACCTCCAAGGCAGGTTCTGGGCCTGTATAGGGTGTGGATGATCCTTTCCTTGCGAGCTGATCCGCCCTTTCATTTCCCGCGTTACCGGAATGTCCTGACATCAGATTTACTGTGTTTTGTTCCGCATATGTGTTCAGTTCTTGTTGGCATTCAAAGATCAGTGCAGATGCCACTGTAGGACTTCTTAACGCTACGAGTGATGCCTGAATGTCAGTGTATGTGGCGATCCTATTATTGATACACGCTCGCTCATTATTTACTCTTGCACAGTGCAAGACTGCATATACTACTGCCTGAAATACAAAGGTGTGTCTGCAAAGCGGTATACTGTGCTCAGGATTGCACCTGTTCCCCTATATGCCTGCTCCTGTTTTTGACCCATCAGTGTACCAGGTAATTTTCCATTGCAGGTTGTGCCTTTGGTGTTTCGTTGGATCTCCTATTATTTGATTGACTTAATTCGTTCAATTTCTCTGTTGTACATGTTCGTAACTGACTTTTTCCTCAGAGGATTTAAATTGCGCTGAACTTAATCGTCTACCACTTGACGCCATTTGTCCTGTTTTTGCTTTACATTTGGATTGGATCTTTAAAAAGGAGATTAATGATACACCATACTTCTGGTTTTTGACAGTTAGTTGCTGAGCTATCAAGAACTCTGTATGCATAACTATCGTAATAAATATACGACTTTTGGTAGTAACGATTGATTTAAGGATAAACTGTTGGATAGTTAATTAGAATCACATGTTTTAAATAGCAAATCTTCAAGAAGTCGTTAACATAACAAAATATTATTAGCCGGATTCTGATTATATTTTTAGGGTCTTATTAACGTAGAATAAGATAGACAAAACTAAAATGTTCATCAGTTATAATGATTACAAGCGCCAGGAAACAATTATGATGCTTTTGCTTAACGTTTCAGCCCCCTTTGTTTCTGCACGGTGGATTTGCTATGCCGGCTTTATACAAACAATGCATCAGTGATGTGTGCCTAATTGAAACGAGCAAATATATCCTTTTGGGTCTTGCTTTGAAATAATTACTGCTCAAGGCATAACATTGTTGTACACGGTGTACTGAAAAACGTACGATAGAAACTAAAGCCTCCTCAAAAAACATTCACCTCAAACCGTAAGAGATCATTCAAGTATTACGTAAGCACTAAAGGGGCGGGGCTTTGCTTTGCTTATTTTTGATCATATGGGGGATGGTGATTACGTCAGCAATATTTATTTTTGTACTTTTTCGGATTTAGTCGATTGTAATGGCAACGTATGGCAACCCTGTTTGTCAATGGTCCCCAAATATGGATACGCTTACTAAGCTTAGAGCCTTCCTGGTTTTCCAGACATTAAATGGTATTCAGAACAGAGGGTTGGCTGAATAATCATGGAGAATTTGCTTACGTAATACTAATTTGTACAGCGAGACTGACGGTAGATAGTAACAGCGATTATATTGCACGTTGCCAAGTGTACAGAACCAATGATTAACATGGAATGCCCAACCATAGACTGCATTTGCACTCACAATTTCAATCCTCAAATCCTTGTTGTAGTAGGAGTGCAGTAATTCCTTTTGAAGTAATGAGTCAATTTGTTCTTTGTCAATTAATAGTAGAGTCAGACCGTGGCGAAAGCCGCGGAAAGATCGTTGGACTTACTACAGAGGACAAATGTAAGGCACTTGTTTCCAAAATAAAATACTAAGGAAGAAATCAAAATGGTTTTGTGACGGGACAAAGTCTAAGACAGTAAAGAAAACTAGTTTAATCGAAACATATTAATATGGTGATTATCGGGTATGAATATGATAAGGATATGAAAAAGAATTTTTTATTTTAGTAGTGAATCGATACTCAAAACTTTCTAAAGTAACTTTTCAAGCTCTTTAAAATCAGGATTTGGTTATTTGCACAGAAAACGTCCTTGAATAAATGTATACAAGAAATTATAGAAAATAAATAATTTTATTAAAAAAAGTTAGTTATTGAAAATTTTAATAAGGTGTGTAAATTGTAAATAGAGAAGTGTAGTCAAGGAGAAGAAATGGTGTGATGGAGGTTATTGGTTATTGTGCATACATAACCTAATGTTTATAACTAATGCTCTTTTTCATTTCCAATTACAATTTATTTGCTTACAAAAGAGTCGGGGGTCTTCTGCTGGAAGATGTTAATCAAGGATAGAATCGAATATTCAAAGAGTGAAATCTCGCGCAGCGCTGTCGGTTGAATATTAATGGTTACAATTATTAGGAAATAGTGGTATTAAGCAGATTAACTGGGTAGGTACTTTTATACGTAAGCATACGTCTTTTTTCGAATTTCCCGTGTGACATATTGAAAATCATTGAATCACCAATGCTCTTTGAGTACCATATACAGTATGGGAAAAACCATTATTATACATTATGATGAGGAAGAGAGATGGAAATATACAAAAGTATCTAGGTGCGTGAAAGACACTCGCTTGTAGGATCCTATCTGGCAAGAGTATTCCAAAATGAAAAAGTTCAAACTATTAAAATTGTATTAATGTTTCATTGTTCAAATCATATTTTTCATGTTTGTATATTGTTGTATAAATGATTTTGTAATCCCTATTCTTGTTGCCAGTAGAGATACAACAGTATTGAGAGAAATCATGGACCGCTAGATAGGGCTACAACTACCATATGACTATCAAATAGTAGTGATAAACAGGGTTTGTTTATAGCACAGTTGCCTGGTGTGGCGAATTTGCGCCATAGGGGCGATTTGACAACTTTGAAGGACAACTATAACGGTTACTATGGTGCCCGGTATTCGGGAATCTGGCAATACCTGATGATTCCTAATGTTTATTACGCCAGATTGTTTGCTGATTTGCGCAGTACAACATGACAATCAACGTGACTGAGCACCTGGTAACCCTGGTTTAAGGTGTTATATTTAAAGAGCTTGGGGCAGTTAGGTATCTAGGTCACATTTTTTAATGTATTTCGAGAAATCCGTAATGTTGAGTAAATACTAGATCACGTTTCTTGCTTAGTTTGCTGAAAATTCTACAATAGACGTACATTTTGAGAAACAGAGATTTGGTGACGACAAAATCGTAAAAATATAACGCATTTTCGTAAAATAATTTCTTTGTTGAAAAGACTGTGGCTTGATGACCCATTGAACGAGTATAGTGTCCCGCTCCGCTTTGAATATTCGAAACACTATACTCCAGCAGCATTCAGCTTCAATGTTATCTTTATGAAGTTCTAACGTCTAGGCGATGCTAATTAAAAGCTTGAATGAATCAACACTTAACTCTAAATTCCCCACAATTCGGGAAGCTCTACTCAAATTGGCAACACAGCGTATCTGCCTATTATTCTCATTCATGATACAGGTCTGCGGTTAACCGTAGGAAATATGTACGAATAGCGATGAAAGTAGACGAGCGGTTGCGGTGTTGCCAAGAAATGATTTCCCATGTATAACAATGGTTTTTCCTAAGGTGTATATTGAGGCTGAGAAATGAGCCTTACCAAAACTTTTTGCGCCCGAAGGTAATAGAAAATTACTTAGAACAGTTAACAATTTTGACCTCTCTAAATTTTTAGCTACACCTAAAGATTATATCAGTTGTTAAAACACAAACCAAGTTTGAGAACAACTTGAAAATTCTTTTCTGCTGTCCTAGTACCACTAACTTCTATGGCAAATTACCGACAAAATCCATCAAAATCGGTGGTACAGTTTTGAGATTGCGAGACTATACACCAACAGAGGGATGGACGGGAATCAGTGACAAAGTGAGATTGATTTTCTTGATGTGAACATGACAAAAAAGAAGGAATATGTGGAATTCGTCACTTCTGCCCATTTTGGGACACTTGAAAATGAGATTTGAAATTAGCTACGTGAGGTCTATGTGTAGTTACATTATCTGACTATTTTGATATAATATAAACTAAATGGGAGTCATATTCCGGAAGCGTTTGGGATATGCTCTGCGGTCATCTATCAACGATTTTATTACTGTATTTATTAGCAGCATGAATTGAATTCATAAATACAGCCTCGGAGTGTTTTCGATATATGATATAACATTTTAAGTAACAAAACACATACATTAATTCAAGCAAAATTATAGGCGATTTATGAATATAGTAGGTTGATTGTTTATACATAGATATAACTGCATTAATGGAGACAGTACGTTACCACGAACATTATATACCCTCAATTATTGTGAAGTCAGGGTGAACAGTATCTGCTCACTTTCCGTCTTTGCAATCATGAACAACGGTATACAATGTTGTTTCATGCTTTTTAGCTATTATCAGTAGGGTACACTGCCGTACAAGGCAGTAAAGTGTAAATATCGAAGTCTGAGAAAATTGATTCTCGAATTAAATAAATAGTATTGTTACGACAGAACAGAAGTGAATGAATATTGCAAAGTTGCATGACTTTAGAGAGTCATTTAAATGCTATTTCGGATCATAGTTATTGTCGAGGGCTAAAATAAATGACATTCCGTCTTTAATAGACGAAAATCAAAAAGCAGTAACATATGATTTATTGCTTTTATATTCTGCACAAACAAATTTGCTGCCTTTTGCATATTTTGATAATCTATTTTTTATTTATTTTCAAGGATTAACCCTGTAATGCAGAATTTTAATTTATTCTTATATAATTTATTCGTATTGAAATTCACATAAATGGCCTAAAACTAAGTCTTTCCAGCATCTGATAATTCAATATTATAATTGTATAATTATATTCAATAACTACATTCACATTACAACAAAAATACATAAATAAACTAAAAACAGCACGTTTCCTTATATATTAACTTAAACGAAGAATACTTTTCAAAATTATTCTTTCGGAGATAAAGTAATTATTTATAACGATAAATAATAATTCGCAAATAATAGAAGGTATCTATGGGGTTGTCCAAAACGGACGCAGGAAAGTAAACGCATATTAAAACAAGAAAGATTGATATTCAAATCAAGTTGGGTACTTTATTTTGAAGGTTCATTTATACGATTTATGTATGAAAAATAATATCGCTCAAATGCTCACCACGACTGGATTTACAGACGTCCACGCGATGGTTGAAATTTTCAATGACATTTTGCAACATGGTCGGTTCTATGGCATTTATCTCGGCAATGATGTTGTTTTTGAGTTCTTGGAGGGTGGCTGGTTTGTTGACGTAGACTTTGCTTTTCAAATATCTCCATAAAAAGAAGTCCAAGGGAGTCAAATCGCACGATCTTGGTGGCCATGGCACATTTCCTCTGCGCGAAATCACGCGATCACCGAAGAAGGACTGCAATCGATGGATATTGACGTTGGTTGTGTGGCATGTTGCACCGTCTTGTTGGAAATAAACATCGTCCATATCCATTCCTTCAAGTTGCGGCCAAAAAGAGTCCTCTATCATCACGAGATATCGCTCAGAATTGACGGTAACGGCGTCCCCGGCCGCATTTTCGAAAAAGTAAGGTCCGATGATGCCTTTTGACCACAATGCACACCACACAGTCACTTTTTGAGGATGCATCGGCTGCTCTTGATACTCACGGGGATTTTCGTTCGCCCAGATGCGGCAGTTTTGCTTGTTTACCGTCCCATTCAAAGTGAAATGCGCTTCGTCGCTGAACATGATTTTTGATGAAAAATTGGCATCAATTTGGCGGTGTTCAAGGTGCCAATCTGAGAACGTTCGGCGCGAAAAATGATCGGCCCGACGCAGCTCTTGCGTCAATTGGATCTTGTAGGCGTGTAAATTCAAATCCTTGTGGAGAATGCGGAGCAAACTGGTTCTCGAAATGCCCAATTCTTGGGATCGACGCGTTGTTGATTGTTTCGGATCGTCTCTCACACTCTTCTTCACAACAGCAATATTAGCGTGGCAGATTTGCCACAGAAAGTGTTGCCTCGAATTTACGCACCAGACGACCTGATGGTTGTTTCGTTTGGGCGGTTGTTGCGACCGAAATGTTCACGAAGCGCGCGAAACGTGTTTTTTATTTTTGCACCATTTTTGTAGTGCTCTTGAATAACTTTAATGCGGTCTTCAATCGAATACGACTCCATAGCGATCAATGGTAAACATTCAACTAACAAAATGACATGTCGGTGACAGAAAACAAAGATGGCGTCTATGTCAAATTGACGTTTACTTTCCTGCGTCCCTATTGGACAACAAAACAAAAGCTTAATAAGTAAATATCACAATAGGTTGTAAAGGGTAAAAGGGCAGCACTTGTACCATACGGAGAATAAAAGCAGTACAGTTTGAAAACTACTGCTTTTTTAATTTTATAATTTATTTATTTACCGATTTTATGCTTAGGAAATGTAATTAATATGGGCTACGCAGTGAACTAATAAATATTTTTGTTAATTAACGTGATCAATGATATATTTGGAATTGTAATCATAAAATAAATGTATTGGTTGTCAAAATTTAAAATGAACTTTACTGCCTTTTACCTAAGTACGACAGTAGCAGGACTAATCATTTGGATATCCAGGGTTTCCATTCCGTATCTGCAACGATAAAAAACCGTATGCAATGTTGTTTCAAGAATTTTAGCAATCCTCAGTACGGTAAAGGTCTAGTGATTTCATGACTGAGAGAAACAGGAGTGTAAATGGCAAGACTGGCTCGGTGTTGCCCGCCAAGTGGCATGTGCATTCGTAAAACGAGGAGAGGGCTCACGTCATAGGTCTAACCTTGCCGCGTTAGCGGAAAACCGTTTAGATTGTATTGTCTGCCTGTTTGATGTTCCCTCGTTAATAAAAAGTAACAACAAGAGATCGACTTGAAGGTCGGGGGTTTCAATTTGCTGGCTTGCTTTCAAAATGATGTTTGGATGAATATATCGTGCACAAATGCTAAAGCGAACACAGATTTTTCATTTACAAATATGAAAAGAGCTTTGTGTGAGCGATATGTGAAGAAAGCAGAAACTGTGCATGCTTGAATAGTTTAAAATGTGAAGTGTTGCGCTTACCTGTCTTTGCATGCCTTGTAACTCCCCAGGCATATTTTTGGCACTGACCATCAGAGCTGCGGCCATACTCAAGTAGAAGATCCCTATGATGGCCAAAGGTACTATGTAGAATAGTAGGAACTTTCCCATGACCATCACCTGGGGATACTTGTCGTTCAGCCAGTGTTGTGGAAATGGGTAGCAAACGAAGAACTGCGCGTTTCCTTCTGGAACTCCTTTTATGTGGGAACCAATCGCTGCTGGGATGGCACAGATTGTCGCTAGTATCCATATCGAGAAGGCTGTGCACAAGGTTACTCGTGTAGCTCTTTTACCTCCTCCTGGAAGAGTTATTCGTTTACCTAAAGCAGAAAGCACTTCGTTGCAGACCGCGAGAGAAAATGTATCACTAAAGTAACGAGCATGCTTTCTGCTTGAGAAACAACAAAGATGGCACCAAGTAGGTTGAATCTACACTTCTACACGCAACGCCAGCATCAGTTTGTAAAGGATTATGTTCAGGATAGTTGGTATGCTTTCGTTCGTTGTTCCAGAGACCAAACCTAGAGCTGTCTCTGGTTGGCTGTCTTTGGTTGAATGCACGAAATCAGCATGTTTAAGTTAGACTCTCTGAGAAAAAGGTTGACATGTATTACACAGAAATTAAACGGGTCCGCATATAACATTCTTTTCCTGCCCTATCCGTAGTACCACTCATCTGGCAACGTCGCGTCGGCTGTCCCCAATATCTGAAAGCATGATAAGTCTCAGTCGGCAGAGGGCCCACCGAACGAGAGTGATGTAGAACACATACGAATGCTGGCACTCCGGCCGCGGCCGTTAATCAGACGCATGGAGGCTTGTCGAGCACATTTTCCTATCGTTCTTGAGTTTTAAGTGCAACAGTAGGGATAAGTCTATGATGTGTGGAATATGTCGAATATGTGCGTAGAATTATCGGGGCTAGAAGTGTATTAATATACTAACATCAAAAAATTGCGATACACCCTTCCCCACCCTTCCTACAACCCCCAACTCCACATGTTTTACCCATAAAAACATGATCAGGATCATCTGAAACGTCAAAAAAATAAGCTCAAGCTATTTTTATTCCATTCGTTTTTGGCCTTTTTCTCAGCAGACACTGAAATGATTTTTAAGAACCACAAAGCTTTTTCGTCCTAAGCATACTAGTAACCTTATGTAAAAATTTCATCAAAATCCGAGTGGTGCTTCTCAACTTACAGAGCGGCTAACGGTTAGCCGACAGACAGACCGAAAGACAGACTGACAGAAAGAAATGAGTGATATTATTTTTCGTGACGTACATGTCATATTACATCAAGAAAACACAATATCTCATTTTCGATATTTTTCGCGATTTCAATACTCCCTCGTCTGAATTCGTGGGAAGTAGGAAGAAAATAATCCCGAAAGGTAAATAAAAAATATTAACGGTATTATCTTCCTATAGGTCCACGCTTTGGGCCTTAGGGTGTTCGTATTTCCAGAGTTATAAAGTTATTTTAAATGAGTCGAATACGGAGGACGCTTCATTAATGTCCATTTTAACATTCTGCAGAGGTTATTACATATTACATTAGCATTTTCATGTAAAGGAGGAAGCAGTGCTTCATTTTCAAAATTGAATTACTGAAAATTAGATTTTTTGACACTTTCGTCATAAAGAGTCCAAAAGACTCCAATAATTTGCAAATCACGTTCGAGGTACATTTATAAGGAAGGACAAGATAAACATATTATTGCTTCTCATAAGCCAAGAAAAGGAAATTTTACAGTTTTTACGACAGTAATTCTTTTATTGGTGGCATCGCTTTCTAATGATAATTTCAAATGCCAATTTGATAGTATTTGCTGCCACTTTGATAAACGCGATCAGATTACGAGAAACTAAGGGATAAACTGGATTTTTCTGCTTATAATGTATAAACTAAGAATTCAAGAGTATAAGACACTACTATTTGTGTAGAAAATAAAATTTGATACAAAAAAGTATTTCGCATTTTTCGACATCTTGGTGGTTCTTGGAGTATAAGAAGTGAAAATTGAAAATTCGTATCAAAATTATCATTGAAATCGACTTTATCTATTTAGTCAGTTTGTTTTAGAGATTATTGTGAGGTATAATTTTGAAAATGTTTAACGGAATCGAGCGTTTTAAAGTAGCTCTGTCAATGTATAGCTAATTTTGAATCCCTATTTCATAGGAAGTTGTTTTTATTTTGTCGTAAATATCTTCTTCAACAAGAAAGACAAGGATTGTACTATTTTCACTGCTAACCGTACGTGTATCAGAAAATAAGTATTTAAGGAATTTTCCATCTATTTCCGAGATCCCAATGTATATTAATGCCCAAGAGATTTTCATACTTTTAATCCGAATGTCACAAAAATTATTGAAGCTCGGTATCCACAATCGCCCAGTTATCATCACGCTTTATTCAATTTAAAAAAAATCGATCGTTTTTCTACGTATAACATAACACAAGCCACGCTTTTGACAAATCAAACGTTCGGCGTCAGCGTCGACAGAAGGCTGTGTTAAAAGCAGAACATCGGCTTCGGTCAAAAAATTGACCTTCGGTGGGATCAAAAATCTTTTTTTAACACAGCCTACTGTCTTTTTCTCAGAAAGACTTGTCACCAACTACTGACGGACATTTTTACATTTTTTCCTTTGTCCCGGCATGATCTAAACTTACCGCTAGCATGAAATTTCTTCAAGGGATCCACTATGGCGAAGAATCGATCTGCAGATAGTGCTGTCAATGTGAATATCGATACTGCTGTTGATATGTCCTTGGCAGTTTCTGAAACTTTGCAGATCAGCTCTCCCCATGGCCAGGACTCGAGGGTATATATTACAGAGGTAAATGGAACACTGGTAAGGATTACTAGCAGGTCTGCTAGCGCCAATGATAGGATATATCTGAAAAAGTATGAATAAGCTACATAAGTTTCATAATAATAATTCTAACGTTAATTGTTAATCCGACTTATTATTTGTATTGCAAGTTAAAGTATAGCATGTGGTACATTTCGATGTGTAGAACAAAAGTTGCTTTGGGACAAAATATATACGCTTGTTCTTGTTCTTTCAAATATAACAATGTTTCATGATAGCGCTGGTTCCCAAAGAAATGATTGCCCATGACATCAGGACTAGCTACGCCAATATCTCACACGAGTAATTTTCGGTATAAAGAATTCGAAAACTATACCTCTCGTATGTCATACTCTATTGTCGCACTACTCAGGTATTCTTAAAGGTCGGTAACATCCATTTGGTGTTTATGCGCGTTATCATAAGTCCATACTACCCCTACTATAGTCAACGCCAAACAAAGTGGCGTGCACGTCATCACGATAAAAATTCCCCGACCTAATGCCTAGGTTTCTATCACAAACAATTGCTCTATTGCAGTTTCATATTAATGTGATATATAAATTGTAAAATGGCCATTACTCTCTTATTATGGTTAATAGTCATATAAACATTGTTATTAAAATATCACATAAGTTGCTTTCTGATAAATTTAGACGCATTATGCGAAATAAAATGTTTTGCAAACGCTCCAATCACTTATCGACATGTAAACGCACTAAACCGATTTCGCAGCGTTGACACATTGTCACCTTGAAACTTATTTAAACTGGGAACTGACATTTGTATTAATTTTGACACTGAATCAATTTGTGGCATTTCAAATCTTTATAAATCCTTTGGCCCCGCATACTGTAAATCAACAACTGTTTGTTTCAAAACAAAATTATTCATTTTATGAGTAGATAAAGGCAATTTTGGTATATAAAGATGCCCAAACAGTTAAATAGTCGGTGTAAGGAACTCGTGGCCTCGTTAATGCACTACTTTGAGCAAGAAAGGGACAACAACGGGCCTTTGTTGCCTTTAAATGCTGTTCAAGAGGTAGGTTACTAATAATTATATGTAATGTACGTATATATTAATAATAGTGAAATTTTATTTCATTTTTTGTAGCGTGTTGCTGCTGCTTTAAAAATTAGTTTAAGGACAGTTAGTCGTATTTCCGAGGGTGTGAAAAGTGATGCAAATTTAGAATCGCCCAAGAAAAAGCGGAGTTATATTAAACGTGTAACCAACACAGCGACATTGGATACAAGTGCCATTCGAGAAGTGATCTATAATATGTATCACAAAAGTAAGATCTTATTATAATAACTTATCAGAAATTTGCATTAATTTGTTAACTAAATTATAATGTCATATTACACATGGTTTCAGAAGAACAAGTTACGATACAAACTTTATGGTCTCGATTAAGAGATAGGGCATTATTTGATGGTAGTGCCACGTCTTTAAGGCGGTTGCTTAGAGATCTTGGATTTAAGTGGCTTAAGGACAATCCGCGACGAGGGCTCATGGAACTACCAAGTATAGCTTTGAAAAGGGTGGAATTTCTAAGGCAATACAATCAAGCCAAGGTTGAGGCCTTATACCAGTTTGTCTTCCTCGATGAAACTTGGATATTTCAAAATGGGACCATAGGTCGCTCTTGGCAAAATGGAAACCAAAAAAGCGTGAAAGCTATTAAAACAGATGGTAAAAGGTATGTACTTTGACACAATTTGCACTATAAAATTTAAAACTAATATATTTTAGATACATTATATTACATGCTGGAAATGAAAATGGGTTTATTGAGGGTAGTGAAGCGATATTTTCTTCGAAAACAAAATTGAGCGATTACCATGGAGAGATGAACCAGGACAATTTTTTGAAATGGTTTCAACATCAGTTATTAGAAAAATTGGAGAGTCCATCTATGATTATACTGGATAACGCCCCTTATCACAGCATGATATTGAACAAAGTGCCCAACAATGCATGGACAAAAAAATATCCAAGACTGGTTGACAAATCAAAACATACCATTTTTAAACACAATGTTTAAAACAGAGCTATTGAGTATTGTTGCTCGGTACATAATGCTTCTTAATTATATATATTTTGGTCGACAGTTTATATTTCTTTTGTTTATTCCTATTCTTAAAATAACTGCTTTTTTAGAAACAAACCACCTAAAATATACGTCATTGATGAATTGGCGGAACAACATGGGCACAAAGTTCTTCGTCTGCCTCCTTACCATTGTATATTTAACCCTATTGAGTTAATTTGGGGCATAGCAAAAGGTTACTATAACAGACATATTGGTAGAGATGGTAACAGTGAAAAAGACTGTTTGGATATGTGGAACGAGGCTCTACAAACGGTTACCCCAGACATGTGGAAAAATAGTGTTCGACATACTGAGCAAGAAATTTTTAAATGGTATGAAAGAGAACGAATTTTTGATCGACCAGACATCGAACCTTTAATAATCAACTTTGAGAGTGATGAAGATTCAGATTCAGACAGCGCTGAAGAAAGAAACTCCGACTAACTTTATTGTACAGAAAAAGCTTACACCAGTAGCTTACCTAATTTTAGAATGCATTTTTCTGTATGAATTCTGTAAAATAAATACCATGCATAAAATTTGGAGGACCCCATTTGGATTTTTATTCAGTACCTTTAAGCTATCAATTAAATATGGTAGTTTCATAGTGTCATCTGATCAATAATTGTCATACTTAATGATTATGCAAGTACAGATCTATAATTTTATTATACTATTATTTTTGTTCTCATTTGAGGTTAATATTGCTTATAAACCTAGATATGTAAATAATAAATTTTATTATTTTACAAAAAGTTTGGCAACAATGTAAATTTTTCAACACACCCACCTTGATGACGTGCACGCCACTTTGTTTGGCGTTGACTATATATGTATATTTTTGTATTATTAATGAGAAATCGTGGATGTTTGTTACTCATTCACGCCAAAATGGCTGCACGGATCTGGATAAAATTTGATACAGAGATAGATTATAGTCTGTAGCAGTACAAAGGCTACCTTTTATCCTCGTAAATAATCGTGAATTATCTATTTCACGAGTCGTAGTCCAAACGGGTTAATGGCATTAGACATGAGGTATCTGGCGCGGAAGCGTTTAGCCGTTGGTCCAATCGACATGAGTAAGGGTATGTAAATAGGGCACATCGTGCATTTACGGCCAAGCAGGTCGACTAACGACGTCGACTTTTGTTGGGATGGTAGGAGACAACTCAAGAAATAAAATAAACCGAAGAGCCCAATAGCCATCTTGGGAAACCTTGATGCGTACCTCACTTCAAGATCCCACCGATCGGACCCCAAATAGAGGTCGACTTGTAAAACCTAAATGGAAGGTACACGAGTATAAATGACTTTCCGTAGCCGTACGTCCGCATTTCGGCTCGGCAAAATTCCGAGGGGGAAGACGTGAAACTTCAAAGGGTAAAAATTGGTAGGGCTGCCCACCCTTACTGACTGAAACACCGGTTGCAGGAGCGTCCAGAGTGAGGGAACCTGGACCGGGGTGGTGGCGGGATCGCTTAGGAATCACGTGTTCCTGTTCCTGTATTTACTGCATCATACTGCATTTCGGGATTGGTTTTCTTAACGTGATCGTATTGAATTAGATAAATTGTCCTTTATAAGGCAATGACAGCAACTGTCCCATATTTTTTATCCTGAAAATCTTTGAGAGTGAAAGCGAAATAACTGAGATATTTGTTATGGTAACGGACCCAGGGACGGGGGTTAAGAAATGGCGCTTCCACCATCAGCATCGAGACGTAGTTGAGGGAGCAGACGATAGATGAGTTGAGAGACGCATTGGGAATGGTTCGACAGGAGCTGTCAAAAAAGGACGATGATAAGAAGGACATTGAAAGATTGACGATGATCCTCATCGAAATTGTCTCCAAATTTTTCCAAGCAACTTTACAAAATCCCAATAATGATAAAAATGTCAATCTTGAGAGACCGCTAAATAATACAAACGAAAATTTCACTGTCGACAAGACACTTTCTGGTGGCTTGGTCAAGGTTAAACCCCGCCAAAATTGCAGTCTGAAACGTATACGTCAACTGCAAGAAATACAAATAAATAACCTGTGTCTAATCTATCGATTCAACATCTCAGCTATCAGAAGACGCGAGGTATAAGATCGATGTATTGAGATCGCTCTTTATAAACGTTTGTTTTTTGCAAATAAAAAACCCAAAAATGTACTTTTCCAAAATTATTTCAATATTGTTATGATTTTAACAGTACAAATGCTTGAATCTGACCGCAAAATGTGTTGAGAATGATCAAGTAAACTCTAGGTCTTCTAGGAAATTAGTGGTATGGTCTGTATTATTTCTAGCATATCAGCAGGAATGGCTGGTATAACTCATGACTGCACAGCCTCCATGCAAAGTTCGCGATGGCGAGGCGTAGATCACAAGTTTATTTCTTCAGGTATGAAAATTGAACGTGCGGTTGCCGTTGATGCAGCAATCAGGATAATTCCCAAGTCCGAAGATGATTACCGCAGGATCATTCGCCTCGCCTTCCTTGTACCATCGGAGATAAATATTCATGAGGTAATCAAAGGAGTACCTGTGACACTTTCGGAATCAGAAATTAAGGAAGACTTGCTCCCTGAACATGATTCGTCTGAAACGCAGTGCCAGCGCTCTCATGCTGAGCTCGAAGTTGAAAAGAGCTCAAGACTTATTGGGCAGTGTCACTGCTGCCAAAAATATGGGTATGTGCAATCCTACTGCACAGCACCACCTTAAAAATGTACGTTTATGAAATGCATTTCTGACCACATGCCCTCAAACAGGATAAGAGGAACGAAAAAGCACGAACTGTGGCAGGGGCAATTGGGCACTCTGCGAATAGGTCAACTTGCAGATTTGCCGTTAGGAAAAATTCGCAAATGATAGAGTAAAGGCGCAATGTAAGTTACGCCAATGCTATAACGGATGCAACCCGAGCTGCCCCCTCTGTGAGATCTTCTGTGAA